TAAACAGTGATTTAGACCTGATTTGTAATTGGAGTAAGACATATGGTTTGAAAGTCAATCCTCTTAAAACAAAAGTCATCATAGTCGGTAATTCTATAATGACCAATAGAATAAAATTTTCACAACTACCAGCAATTACATTTGATGGTGTACAACTAATCCCGTGCGACAGTGTAAAAAATTTGGGTATCTTGATTAATAAAAATTTGAATTGGGCACTCCAAGTTGAAGAAGTGAGCCGAAAGGTGTTTGCTGCGGCAGGTTCTTTAAGAAGGCTTCGTAATTTTCTTCCAATGGCCACTAAAACTGCGCTGTCTCAATCTTTATTACGTCCCATTTTAGATTATGCCGATGTCAGCTATCTAGATCTCACTGAGGAGCAATTAAATAAACTTGAGCGGCTTCAGAATTTTTGTATTAGATTTATATTTGGTTTACGCAAATATGATCACGTATCCGCTTTCCGTACTAAACTCAAGTGGCTGCCAATTCGTCTTCGCCGGAATGCACATATTTTTTTTTTTCTTTACAGTATTCTGTTTAATCCTTATTCACCAGCTTATCTTAAGGAACGTTTTAATTTCCTTCATAATACACACACTAGAATTTTGAGGTCATCAGAGAACTTGAAATTGTCAATACCGATGCATGACAGCAAATTTATTCATAAATCATTTACAGTCCAAGCTGCACGTCTTTGGAATACATTGCCAGAAAATATCAGGCGTGCTCAAAGCATACACATTTTTAAGGAACTAGTCAAAGAGCATTATCTGTCACTCACTCTGAATCCCGTTTGATTCTTATCTGTCATCTAACTAAGGGCTTATATGTATGTTATATATGTATTATAGAATTTAAAGTATTTATGTATTTCATTTATTCATTAAATATAGGTAGAGATATGATACCATGATAAAGTTTGAGACACCATAAGCTACCCTAAATTGAATCTAAAGTAGATATAATTTTCGTTCAGTTCACAAGGTTGCCTGGAAGAAATTACTTTTTAGTAATAAGGCCGCCAATTGTGCATTCACATTTATTGTATCCTTATATTTGTTTCTGTCCATTGGTGTACAATAAAGAATTTTTCATTCATTCATTTCATTCATTCATTCATCTTCACCGATTTGACTGATAGAGCATGCCTTTTTGGCATTATGTTATAAAGAGGGAATAAATATAATAATAACAGTAATAATAAATGATAATAATATTATAGGAAATAAAGTATTTTTCTCATTAATGTTAAAAAAGAACCTGTTACTTTTTTATATGTATAAGCAGGTACCCATTGATCTTTTCAAAATGGTTGTACATTTTTTACTGGGACAGGTTTACCTTCACGTTACTTATCAATTAGTAATAAATAATAATTTTGACAAAAAGTTTCCTCTTCAAAAGCATCCTTCAGATTTTAACTTCAACCTATAAATCTTTTTATTATCCTCTTCTTTCTAATGACGTCATACAAACATTAAACAAAGGTGACTTACCTTTACAAAAAGCTTAAGCGACTGACCAAATCAAAAATAATTACATACTTAACGAATCGATTTCTCACATTTGTAATCTAAATCAAAACGATAATAAAGAAACCAGTCTTTAAAATCATAGTAAACATGTATAGAGCATCAACTTGCAGGGGTTTATACATACCACAAAAAGGCAAGGTACCAATTTCCTTATGCGACTTTCGTTCCTTTAGCATTTAAATCGCAAGTGTGAATTTCAAAATTTCGTTATACGACGAAGATTTACGTCAAAAGGTTTCTTTACTTGTAGATTGTGCGCGAACAATGTATAGGGGCATAATACATTTGTCAGATAAACTATATGCATAAAGTCCGTCAGCTTCGTTGGTCAAATTGGTTTAAATTCGATGTGCTGCATCAGTCTGCTCCAGACGCCGAGCTTGTGAACATCTTAATATCAATAGCCTTTCAATATGAAGGGACTCGTTTTTTTATTGGCTGCGATCTCTTTGGCATATGGTAAGTAATTTTTTTTATATTATGAATAAACATTTTTATTTCAAAAAATCTCAATCCCTTTAGGAATTAATATTTTTTTTCAAGTTAATGTTTACGAAATCTCATTCATTACAAATTGCAGATAGCAAGTAGGTATGTGTATGCTCATGAAATTATCATTAATGTTTGAGTGCTAAGATTGCCAAATTTGTTTATTTTATATTGACAAATAGCTGAGTATCTAATAACTTTTTTGCTCATATGGACTGTTGCAGAAACGTCCATTAAGTCCATTTAACGTCCATTCAATGACTTCTTTGAGCTCTTATACATACATAAAACGATGTTAAGGTTATTGTGACTCGTTTAATTCTCTTTATTAAATTTGTAATTACAGGTTGAAAATAATTTATGCTTTAAATTAAAAATTCTAAATTCCACCAACTCCAGGTACTAATGCAATGGTTAAAGCAGTCTCATAAATTGCCAAAGGTTGAAGGTTCGAATCCCATCTCGGGGTACCTCGGGGTACGGGGTACGGGTTGCTGGTGTTTTTTTAAACATTTTTCATTAAATACATTTATCAGTATAGCATCAGGAATGCAAAATAAATCAAATATAATAATGCAAAATCAATTAAGTTCATTTTCTGATGCTCTTAACAAAAAAGCAGTACATAGATGAGGGTAAATACATTGTTTATGATTAAAATATTCCTGGAAATATATAATCCCCAAATTCAAAGGATGTATTCGCGAAGAGATGTTAGTATTACGTTGTTTATAATTAAAAATATGTGTAAAAAAATTCGTAACTATTATTAAAAATTTCAATGCATATCACACACTTTACTACTTCGTATAATTCATTAACAATCAACTATGGAAGGCCAAGGATGGGTACACTATAGCCCATCGATACAGCCAACCGGTCCTCTGTATATAAATAAGACCTGTTTTGACAATATTTTATTTTCAGCCTTATTTTTATGCTTATAATCTAGTTATGATAGGAAAAAAAATAGAAAATGGTAATTTTATTTTGTAAGCAATAGCTTACAATTAATTAACATTCATGTTTCTAAAACAAAAACCAAATACGATACTTGTCATTAATCGTGGTCTAAGTTTATAATATATGTGATACAAAAAATTTTGTACACCTTTTTACAAATTATATGAACGTTTGTAAGTTTGGATGTTCTTCACGCAAAAACTAGGGGGCCAATTCTCTATGTCATTTAGTAGAATAGAAAAACCATTAAAAACTATAGTTTCGTTCCGTTTCCGATTCGATTTAAACAAAATTTATTTAGTAGAATTGGCCCCTGAACGAATTTTGATGAAATTTGATACACGTATAATCCTAAGATGGAGTAACATATGGGCATTACTACTTTTTATTCCAGTAAACATTTCCCTACGAAGGGAAATGTATGAGTCGCTAGGCGAGTGATACTTTACAACAATCGTAATAGTTTGCGAGTGATTAATTAAAAACCGTTTTTGTCGTCTACATCCTCTGTCCCTATCTATTTCATTAGCAAGCACAATGAATTAGACAGAGATAATCTTTTTTCGGTTTTATCCTCCGTTTTAAGTGGTACACGAGTTCGAAGATACCTAAAGAAAGAAAAAACTGTAAACAGGTGGTCAGTTGTAAGATTGATATGTGTATATCGTTCATTCGAGACTAGTCAAACAAGGATAAAACTTTCATATAAAACTCAACTAGATTTAAATTGTATAGCAATGTACTTACTCAACAATATTTTAACGACCTTACCGATACCTATTAGCATATTAAAAATAATCAATAAATTAAAAGTTAAAAGGAGGAAAATCTTAGGTCAATTTATGAGGATAAAATTTTGATTGGCTACTTAAACCTCTTTGTTTAGAATATTCTTATATCGTAATTGCGATCACTCTGTTCTCTTAATTTAATCTCAGGATGTTATGTAGTTTTAACAGGCAATGGAACAGGATTTCCCCGCCAAGTTAAACCCGATATCTATTTTTTTTTGATAACTCAATTTTTTTATTCAGAGGCCATAATTATTTCACTAAAATCGGATTAATATTTTTTAAATTAGCCCTAGTTTCGTAGCCTATTCGATACAAACAAACAAACGATCAAATCTTTCCTTTTTATTTGGATTAATATTGATATTTGAACGAATCTGAATGTGTTAGTTCTGAATACAACTATATTTAGATGATAACATATTCATATATTATCGTATAAAACAAAAGAATATGTATTTTGCTTTTCTATGATTTTTGCACGATTTTTGTAATGTAAAAACATACAGCACCGTCAAACATAATAATTATGTAACTGTAAATTATATTTTAGAATCAGTTTCAATTTTAAGTGTAACATTTTTTTCATTTGAGAGTACTTTTGCTCTTTTGTATAGATTTTTTTTTCATTAATGAATAGTCCCAGTCGCTGGAAGAAAAATATTAAAATTAAATCGATCCGGCAACTGCGACCGCAGTTCGAGATTACGCGGTCTCAGTCGCCGGAAATCTCGAACATAGAGTTAGTTAGTTAAAAATCAATCTCCACCTGACGTTGACAGCAATTAAATTTTAAATGACTATAATTTTTAAAGAAGCTTTTATTATTTCAAAATTCTTTTAAAAAATGTGTCTATGAGCAAAAAGCCTACAAAAATAATCACAAATAAAGACTCGACTTATATTATTATGTCATAGCAGATAAAAAAAAATTAAAAACTTGCTGAAAGCGGTGATGTCGACGATTCATGAATTACTTTGTGGCTAATAGGCCATATTGACGAGATATGCTATTTATTGCGCCATTTCTCCTTACTTTGTCCCCGCCATGTCATAAAGAGAAAAAACGCTGATACGAAAAAGTAATGTTTTTTTTTTATTACAAATTGAGTTGGTGAACGTTTTTTACACTTTTTGCTAAAGTGAAAAATCACCCTTAACACACCGTACCTATATTAATAAAAACTATATACCTCGTTATACAATGGGTCGCTGTAATCCCTGCATAACAACCTACTACTTTAAAAACTACCGCTATTTAAGTTTTCTATATCAATATTTCTATATTACAAATATTTTAATTGATTAAATTTTTTTTTTCAGGTGTACGTTACGATGGACTTCGAGGTAAGATTAGCATAATAAAATACATCATGGCATTTGTTTATGTAATTTTTATTGTAATAAACATTTTATAATATATAGACACAGACGAAGATATAATATATAAAACCTCTGTAGTCGACAGGCTGAGGTTTTAAGTTCGAATCCCGATTCTGTAGTGTCCAGTACGGGTGTTGTGTTGTGGTACCTTCGTTGTTTCAGATTTCCATACTGCAAATGCTTTAGCTACTTGGAATCTGAACAATATATGCGATGTTACCTTGTAGTATATGTTATTTGGATCATCTTATTTAGTGTTTATATATAAATCTCTTTTTATGAAAATTGTATTTATTATTTTTATAATACGTACTATTATGATAATGACATGATTTATGTAAATGTAATTACTTATGATAAAGAGCCGGTAAGTTTCTTTCGCTTGTTCTTCTAATCAACTAAAAGATTCCTTGATCGAGTGGTAGGGAAAAATATTTTTTTTTTACGATTCAAAGGTGCTTGAAATAAGCTTACTTGAATAAAGATATTTTCATTTCATATGCTTGGCTTTTTATCGTATGAAAACACCCCTCTGAGACAAAGTTTAAACACTATAGACGTATGAAATTCGTTTTTCTTTTGTTTTTCAAAGTAAAGCATCTTAAATGTTAGCATATTCTAAATTCAACTTTTTCAGTTAAATTCGGTTGGTCGGACGCCCTCGCGGACGTGGAGTACTTCTACAAAATACCTCGTACGATAAAAGAAGCAGAATCCCTGTCATGGAAAAGGACAGAGCGTCCTCCTGGCGCTATGCCAGAGCTGCGGATGTACTGTCCACAAGGTAGAGGCGTCTGTCCCCTGTACGACTCAGCTGGCTTCGTGGCGGGACTACAACTTGCAGTAAGTTTTAGATATTTTGTATGTTTTTATTCTATGATGTATCATGCGATCAATCGACTACGATCAGATCAATGAACAATTGGTATTGGTAGAATTGTAATGTTTACAATTTTTTTTTCAATAAAGATCACAATGTATATAGAAGTTAGATTGTATGAAACGGATATTAAACGCGATAGATTGATAGTTAGGTTTTTCACCTACCTATATTTCTCGACGTTTCGACCGGGTTACACCGGCCGTGGTTAGCCCGTGAAGGGCTGACTACCCTAGGTAAGTGAAAAACCTAACTGCCGAAAGTTTAAAAGTTTAGATTTAGGAGTTTTTATAGGGCTGAGCTAGTCGAGAATGTTATTTAAGTATAGATATACTGGTTCTGCTCACTATTTTATTGAATATGTTCACTTCTAACTATGATTAACCATAACAATGTTTTTTAAACTTTGTGTAATACTATATCCAAAAGCTCAAAGGCGCAATGTGTAGCACGTTCAGTCTGTGATGTCGAATGATAAGCAAACTCTCGGAAGGGACTTGAAATTTTTCAGGGGATTTTTTTAATAATCCTTTTTAATTTGATTGTGTAATTAACTTCGTCATCCTCGGAAGAATATATAGATATACTTTGGTAAAAAAAAAAATATGCTACTGCTTTAAACAGACGAAGTCAAAGGTAGTTAATAAACCTCTTTACATGGTTTCTTGTTTGTTCTTAAAGTGGAAAGTGAAGTAGTGACTTGAGGAAGTTACAGAACTAATGTCTCGCTCCGCTCGTTCGCCGGCCGTTTATCTAATTTATTTGAATAGACAAGTTCAATCTCGTTTGGATTGTGAACTGAACGAAACCGCGTCATCTCCGTCTAAACAAACACTCCCTAGTGTAAATGGTAAAGATATCGAAAACCTAAATTAGCAGTCTATTTTAGAGGTGAAATACACATACAAAAGTCTAAATTAAAAACTAAGAAACCTAAAATATTGCGTATTGTCTTATAATTGAAACGGGGCCTGATACTACATCTAGGCGCCCGAGAAAGCCTCGTTGTATACCCAGTCGTTTCATAACTTACAAAAACTATAATTTTTGCTTAATATGAATATATAATTTCTATGCCTAATGATATTTATCTCACAGGATAATACTAAAAAAACGGAAACTATAATTTGGAAGCAATCGATCTAAAAAAGAATTAACGATGAAAATGATGGCATATAACTGTATAAGATATCGTATACATATCTATCTACAAACAAACGACCGTAAAAGCTTCTCTCTTTTAAAATTAGATAAAAATAATGCAAAAATAGATTTATTGTTCGTTATCCCAATAAATGTAAATAATAAATAAAATTGGATGTCTGTTTATAATGTAAAACTGCATTTTACTAAACGCACATGTATGTATATACATCCATAATAACATTTTTTATCATTTTTTGTCTATTTGTTCCGACTAATCTCTGAAACAACTGGATCGCAACGAATTTGCGGGAATTTCAGTAATACATAGTTTTTGTAATAATGAGTAACTTAGCCTGTTTCTACGCGGAGGAAGTCGCGAGCACAGCTAGTCTACAAAAAATAATCCAAACCTAGAAGAACCTAAGTTCTATTATCTAGTGTACATCTAACGAGTTATGTACAACAAGACGTTCAAATAGTCATAGCTATTATATTTAACTACGTAATTTTATATGAGCAATTTTACTAAACGGTACTTAATACTTATTTCAATACAGATCAATTTTATTTTTTTGTTTTCATGATATTTTTCATACATATTTAGAATTTTGTTCGAACTTCAATAAATTTTGGATAATACTTTCCTATTTTTTCTTTTCTTAACAATTATATTTAATGTTTAGAGGGTAAAGTTAAAAATCGACTGGAGAAATTTGACATGCCTATTGTTCTCGTAGTAACATGATGTGCAGCCGTTTGAAAAAAACATGTTTCATTAGGTTTTCGGTGTATGCAGAGGCATAAATACTTTAATCATGACTCACTTTCCAAATTCTTTATTTTATATATCACCAACAAATATTTATGACCCTAGCTTCCTGTGGACGAGTACGAGTCACTAGCTATTAAGCCCGAAAAGAAGTTTGTAAAATGGCGCGCACCTGCCGTCGACGGAGAGCCCTCCAAGGAGTATTGGACCATCACGCAGTACTACGTCTCGGAAGGTATGTTACTAGATCAAATCACACTATCATTGTGACTGTTATATTAGACATGCCTATACTTAGTTTATACAAACTAGTTTTATATAATTCCAGCCTCTACTGGGCAAATTGTAGCCATTCGGTATTTACCAGGATTTTCATACGTTTTGTCTCTTAAAAAGTATTTGTGAAATGTTCTGTAAAAGATAAGTTATCCGTGAAATAATTAATAATTATTGCAACAATGGGATGGGCCTGAATGGATGTGCCCTGCTAAGCATGATAAAGATAAAGTAGATTTGCAGGTTTCAAATATTTTAATATAACTATAGGTATACATATATATATTGTTTTGTATTGATACAGCTTCAACAGTTTAGTCGGGCTCCTATTTTATTTTTGCATCAAAGCCATTATCATGACTATGAAATTTGTAAAATATAGCTGACCAATAATCAACTTATTAATATCCAAGCCTAAACTCATAAGCAATTACTTCTTAATCTCCAGAAACTCTGAAAGCTGGAGCCGGACCCCAAGCGGCAAACGGTGCAACATTGCAAGATGGCGGCGTCTGGGTCACTGGACTGGACGGAAAGTTGCTTAAGATACCCACATCTGAAGCCGATATCAAAAACACAGCGTTCACCAAGCAGAACTGCGTGCCCAACATGGGTAATCATTGCACTATATTAACACTCACTCTGTAGGTACATTTTATGTGACTCGATAGAAAAACTTTATAGAAAAACCATAGCATCGCAGATTTGTAAATTCCTTACACTTTTTTATAATATATAATATAAATAACTAACGATTTTATCTATATGAACAGGTACCCACTACTACTACAATATGACACGTGACATGAAGTGCGAAGACCTGCTGCCTTGGTTCGGTTTGACCAACAACGGTGAGATGATCGGCACAGGTTTCATCATGTTCGGCAAGTTGGCTCCGCAGAAGCCACGCCATTGGTTCGAGATACCACCAACACGAGAACAAGCCCCAGAGGTTAATATTAGATGTATTTGTGTATGAAACTGATTATTTTATACAGACTTTTCCAAGTGTTCCACAGCTTACTGATATGTTAGTACCTACATACTCTTTCTCAGTGTTACTTATTGAAATTATAATTTGATTTTAGATCGTCATACCTTACGCACCACCGTGCCTAGGAGAGTGGGGATCCTCCTACGGTATATTATCACTTCACATCTACTACATCAACGACCCATGGAACATTCGCTGCAAGTAAGTCGGTACTGGAGAAATCTGCGGGCATCTTCAAAGAATGAAAAATTCTGCGGCATACAATGACGACAAATCTATCATAAACTGCTGACCCTGGAGTCAGTTATGTTTCTGGATTTATAACTAGCTTAAGACTTATGCTATATGCACTTACTCATGCATGGCTGCGACCTGCAATTAATTTTCTAATAAAAAAACACCGACCCTACCTATACTTGTTGAATCTTTAATCTTTCCCTATATCCTATACCTTCTCTTACATAAATAGCACGGTAAACCACGAAAATTTCCATTTCTTTGCACGAATTTCAAAGTTACCAAATGACTTACGACATTTTTATATCAGCGAAAAAACAAGATATCGTATTTTTAATTCATTCAAAATCAGAAAGAAAGAGTTTCTATGTTCAATGGGTACGTATATTTTCTATGTACAGACGGCCTCCCTTCATGATACACACCACCACCGTAAGCAAGTTTTATACGAAGCGCGGTTGATACAAAGTCCATATGCATAGCCTGACGTTCGGCCACGTGTACGTAAATAGTTCTTAGCTCTCTTCTACCATTCGATACACTCGACGAATTGGAAAATCTCTCCTGTAGACGATTGGAAAATATAGTAGGGGCATCGAGGCTATCAGGCGATTTCTGAATTGATAAAAGTAAAAGTACTATTCTGCTCTCATCTGAGAACAGCATGATCTTCCATTCCTCTACAGTCCAGTCAGTATATTCTCGCGCAAAATCAAGCCTAGATCTACGGTGTTAAGGGAGCCGTTGCGGAGCGCAAGCTCGACGAAAGGCTCTCAAATTACTTTTTGCTAGTCTTCTTCTAATGGTATGTTCACTGACATTGACATTTTTCACCTCAAAAAAACGCGTACGAGCTTCAATAGCGGTCGAAAGCGATTTCTCAACACATTGGTGACAACGAAACGGTTATCTCGAGTCGAAGTGCATCGATGTCGACCTTAATCTGGCCTGCGGGTGTGTAAGCCTGTCTCCCGAAATCGTCTGATGGCATCTCGTGCCGTAGTTATACCCCGCATCAGCTAAAGCCTCTGCCTTAGCTACATCAGTTGCATCGAGTGGCATTTTTTGCAATCAACAATGAGCAAACACTATATATAATTTCAAATTAAACAATATTCGCCCACTATAATAAAAAATCAATAGGAAATGTTAACTCGGTAACACAACAGCAACAATATAAAACAACGACTAAATTCCAAAAACTCTTTGGTGACACAAATTTAGGAAAGAAAATAAAGGTAAAAGTTTTTAATTTGTTGCTAAAGTACCTACCTACTTAACAAAAAACAAAACGGTTCATAAACCATAGTTGACGAAACCAAACAGGGGGATGAATGATTAAGTTGGATGGTTAATTGTGCCTGTGAGTGTATATATTTGAAATGTGTTAATTAAGCACTTTCATTTGATACCCTACACGGAATGAATGAATAATATACTTCTTAGTCTCTCACTTTATGCTCTCTAGAGGGCGCTGTTTCCAATTTAATGTAACGTCACATAAAGCCAGTTGCACAAACGGCATTAGTTTAAAGCAACATTACCCATACAAATTTGTCATTAATTATAACTACGTAAGACGCTTTTTAGTTTCGAAGTTGTAAGGGAACAGATGAACATTCTTACATACATACCAGACAAAATTATAACCCTCCTTTTCGCCTCGTTGCCGTAGTCGGGTAAAAATAACGAAAAAAAGATCCTAAGGACTTCGGAGGAAACCACAACACGTGGAGAAACTGTACATATATTTTAGAGCAACGAGTTTACTTCTATGCATGAAATAATACGAGTATACAAGTCATCGCAACAAACACCCGTGTACACCCAAAACCTTCAAGCTGTAAGTACAAAGCTTTTTACAAAAAATTAAATGATCAACCTATTCAAACCCGTCTTCGAAATCAGTTCATTAGTAATAAATTATAAAGTATCCTAATTGGTGCTCGATTTATTTTCAATGAGTCATACAAAAGATATTCAAATATTTTATATAAAGTTAAAACAAAGCCGAATTACAATTACTTAGTTACAGGCTCCGATGTATCACAAGTGGGCTCCACAAAACTTACCTAAAACAGTTTTCATTGAAATACAAGCACATTGCTGTGACGAGTCGAGTCTTCTACTTACTGACCCCATGTTATCACTATAACATATCTATTGATATAAGATTTTTGGAATCAATGTCTTCAAGAAATAAAAAATATACAATAAATATTTTTAAAATTTATTTTAGGACTGGCGATTCTGTGAAACCTGCCCCTGTTTTGGACCGCCTACTTCTTAACGGCTACCGATACGCAAGTAAAGTATCTGACGAGATGAAGAAACTTTTCAGTGGTTGAAGATAATTTATAAAGATCTGTCATAAAAACTTATTTGTACTTCAATTAAATTATATTTTTCCAATTGCGCATTAGTATATTATTTAATTGACACTATTTCTTTTTGTTCTACTTTATAAATACAAGTTAATTGGAAATAAACGTCCCGTTCATTTTAAATATAAAATTCGAGATTTAGAATTCACCAAATCTCATATTACCTGCTGCCACTTATTTGGAGTTCCCCATAATACCTCCCTAGTATTTAAGAATACCTCTTCATGATTTTTATAAACGGATGGACGTATATATTTTCCGGGGGCGCCTCGGCTACAGTTACATACTAGGAACAAACTTATTCAATTATCATTATAGAAAAGTAAACAAGATTTATTTTTCCATAAATGATAATTGAAAAAGTTTGATCATCTCACAAACAAGCATTTGCAATATTTTCTATGAATATGATATCCAACACAAGCTCAAACTCCACACGGAATTTTATAGAAATAATTACATTATGTATTTACTTTGTCGTTTTGATTTCTGTATTGTCATAAAAGTATATTAACTCCATGGGTTAATATAAAAAGTATAGCCTAGCTTTTATTTTGTTGCTTTGGCCCTAACCCAGAGGCGGCTTAACCTATACTGCAGGGTGTGCAATGCGCCACGGCGCTCCCTGAGACAGCTAAGAGCCTCGTCTTGGACCATCATGGTACAACAATGATATGACAGAAGCGGCCAGCCAGCGCGGTGGTGGCAATTATCAAACGCGAGCGCTTCTTTTTCGTCTTTACCTATGGTGCGGGAGGTGCAAACGCACCCGGGCGCTGGGCGTAGGGGGGCTCCACACCAATGATCATTGAGAAATTCCCTATAATGGGGGAGGGGGGCGCCAGAGCACTACTTGCACCCGGGCGCCTCTTGTGCTTACAATAAAAAATCACTTTACATAAAATAAATTTTACTTATTTTAACTAACACCAGTAGGAACTTTATGAGAACGTTTTTTTACTTTCTGCTGTCTACGTTTGAGATGTCTTTGAATGCGACCAGAACCTTCCTTCTTCAATTCTTCATACTGCTTAACTAGGGCTTCAACTCTCATTTCAGCTGAAATTAAACAATGTGAATATATTTATTCATGTATCAGTAATAACTTGATATGTCAATTTATACTGGGTGTATTTATTGGTGGTAAAAAAACTACTGGCATAAAAAGATTGAGATCTCTATGTTTAACCTATAAAAAATAAGCTAATTATCATTGATGCATATGATCTGACCAGTTTTGAATATTATAAATGTGAAAGTTTGTGAGTATGTTTGTTACTCTTTCATATAAAGGAAGCATTTTAGAATAGGTAACTACACCAACGTACATCAAAGAGGGAGAATGGAAGTGGGAAAACACCCTCTCCACCACACGCCAAAGCACGGAGAAACAATTAAAAAAAAGAAAATTTTATTTATATCATCTGGATAATTAAACTTTATACCTTATTTCATAGACATTAAAGTTTAGTTTTCTCATGAAATAAATATATTAGGATGATAGTTTTTGAATTTATAATGTTAGTTTTTATTAAGTTCCCATAAAAAAACTATCTAATATAAATGACCATAAAAGCTTAAAATAATCAAATGATATGTCCATGATAGTAGGAAAACTAAAAAAACTTTACAGTTATATGTTTTAAAATAACAACCTTGAAATTAAAGACAATTGTTATGTGCTTTGTGAATGTCTAAAAATTTCTAACCTATTACATGACCTACAGGGCCAAAATAACTTTATGTGATAATTTTTTTATATGAAAAAATATAACCTCAAAATTAAAGACAATCGCTACGCCACATATCACAATCATCGTAAATTTCTAAAACATGATTTACAAGGCCAAAATAACCATGTTTTTATAATTTTTTGGTGGCTTTTAAGATGATCATAGAAGATAATTGCTATACTGCACTTAGCATTCATCTCAAATTTTTTCTCTTTGCTTTTGATAAAGTCAGTGTTGAATACAAAAACAGTTGCCAAATTTCATTAAACATCAAACAAAAGTTCAATTTTGATGTTCATAGTCATCCTTCATTCATTTCATTTTCAATTTAGATAATTCTAAAATTGTGCAAAACATGCAGATAATTTTTAAATTTCAATTGTACATATTTTCAAAAAATTGTATCTCAGAAACTAATGAACTCAGCTCCTTGGAAAATTAAACCTCTTTAGTACGTGTGTATAAAAAATATCAACAGAATCTGCATAGTTGGCAATACTAAAGCTCAGCCCTATTCCGCTAAATGGCTTCCTAGGAACCATGCAAGCAAAGCCACATGCAGAAAGCTAGTGGTATATAAGTACATGAAATCTTACACTTGTTTTTGAAATGGGGCTGTTTTCCATCATTTGATTGATCTTTATTCTTTAAATTTGATTGAGTTTCCAAAATTTTCTTCTTGTTAACTTTATGTTGATCATTCAACCGCTGCAATAATCTTCGAAGCTTCTTTTCCCTTTCCGGGTCAGTAGTTTCTTTGAGTTCTGCCCGAATTGCTTTAATATCTTTCATACGAATGTCAGACAAAAAATTGTAGTCTTCAGAAAATTTCTTTTTATCAAATTCTCCACAAAGTGGATCAAATCTGAAAAAAAGATTTTAATCAGCATAATAAACATGTGCTTGTGATAAATCAATGGAATTTTTGTCATCACCAATTTATAAATTATTTACAAGCAAAGGAATTTGTGCCAAGATGGCACAGCAATTCCTTAAGTGGATGCCATTGAACTCAACCATTCCACAAAAATGTGATCATGGTTGCACTTTTTATTTTGTTACTCATAACTGTATAATAACAATTAGTTATACAGACAGTCAGCTGAAACTAAATTAAATTTTTTTCCATATAAATAATTATACATTATTATACATAAATAAGTAAAAATATACATTAATTCAAAAAAGAATTTGGTGGGTGTTATTATATAGTATCCCCAACAATATGTAAATGAAAATTAAAAAGAGCAATGTACTATTTACCTAGGATCCCTTATTTCTTTTTTTCTGACAGAGGGTGCATCAAATAAAAATGGAACATGCTTTTTCGAACTTATCTCCCTTGGACGATTTTTGTTTTCCCTTTTGAAAACTTTGGGTTTGTGGTCCAGATTTGTATCCTTTTTGCCAAAAAGAGCTTCATTATAAACCTTTGCACCAATTCTTTGTTTTAATTTTTGAAGTTCCTCGAAAGACAAAGAAGATAATTCCGCTCTGATAGCCGTCTGAAACAAATGATTATCATAAAAGTTCAAAGGACATTTCGAAGACGAAATTTATTTCTAAATTATTCAACGTACTCTATCGCTATCATCCTGTTCTTCTAGGAAAGTAGCTTCGACGTCATTTGGCATTTTAATTAATATCTAATAACAAACTCTTCTTGTCTGCAACCAAATCAAGTGATTTTCCGTATATTATTACACTGTACTCTTTCTTTGCAAGTGATCACAGACTTAGTAGGTATCAAGTGATCTACGTGATCTACAAAGATTACAATATTATACTAGTGATCTACATATTACCTACCACAGACTTAGTAGGTATCATAGACTAATATTGTAGTAAGTATTACCAGGTATTACTCTCGTAGAGTACTATTGTTCTGTGATTACTAATCTCTTGGTTCTAACGGCTGAAGGCCATGGAAGCCAGGGCCGTAAAACCTTTAAAAGAAATCTTGGTTCTAGTTAAGAGTTGGTTAAATTAGCGTTTAGCGTATAACGCTAATCGAAATTAGCGCTTGACGCGGTTAAGTACTATGTACACGTTAAGGCGTTAAAAAATTAACTTGTTAACGCGCAACTATCATTATTAGTGCCCGAGGCCAAGCGCGGGCAATATTCATGGACGCGTGAGCGATTTATTCTCGTAACATGTATTGATCGTATATTATTAACATAGTTTAGTTAGTTAATATTTTTTATTCTTTAGATTAAAGGGTGATTATGTGAGTAAAATAAAATATTCGTCCCTCAAAGGCCGGCGGCGCGCTTGTAGCCCCTCTGGTGTTGCAGATGTCCATGGGCAACGGTAATCACTTACCATCAGGTTATCCGTCTGCTCAGACGAGCAGACCTATCCCATAAAAAAAATAAATAAATGTCAAGTAAAAATGTTGTTTTAATTTTTTTATGTATATTTTTTTACAAATATAAAATCAAATGTTAGTGAAGAACGTAAAACTGTATATAACAATTGTACATAGTGTTGAAGTCTTGATTAATAAATAAACTTCACTGTGTATGTGATATAGCTTTTATTTATTATATTTACTAAAGAGAACATGAAGACAATGTTTCATGCTCGGCGTTGTCATAGAGAAGAACGTTTAGGAACCTAAAGGTTGCATGTGTGGTCCCTACTGTGGTGATGGAGACAACTGGCCAGGGAGACTAAAGGATAATTGTCTCCCTCCGAGCTAGGTGTTGTTAGCCCGGGGACCGCGGTCCGACCGATGTAGGTTGGACGTTCTATTTATGTTAATTGGTAATGAAACTTATTCTGTGCGATGTAGGTTTCTTTGTTCTAAATGTCTTGGTAGTTATTAATTTATGCTGCTTGTATTGGTACAGCGCCATCTCGTTACTTGCTGTTGAAACTTATTGCAGTTCGTCTTGCTATCGATGGCTGTGACGATGCTAGTCTTCTCGCTATCGATTGTTGTGGCGATGTTAGTGCGATGAGTTAGATGTCGCTATGTATCAGTCGCCACAAACGCATAGACCATTGTTAGGGAGCGTTCATAATTACTCATAAGGAGTTTACATACTTGACATACAACACATAGTTCATTAACTTTTATGTCATATTATTTAAATAAAATATTAATAAATTATTATTTCCAACAACATGCGCTCAGTTCAAAGATTGACATGTAACAAATAATGTGCTACGAAATTTAGTGTACGAGATTTAATGCGTTGTTTTTTATTTTGCTTTTTATTATGTTCTTAACGCGTTAATAAATTAACGCATTAATTAACACACTATATTTTGTTAACATTTAGTCTTCAGCGTGTTAATGTGTTTTAGTCATTTTGAACAATTCTAATCACGAGACACGGCGCGCGGAGGTCCGTAGGCTGCAGCCATGTATCTTGGGACACGGCACATTTCTTCTGATTTTTTTGCTCATAACTTTGGTTTGGGTTAATATTTCCTTGTAAAATTGGTCTACAGGCCGGCATTGTGAATAAAATATTCAAAAAAATACCTTTTCAAATAGATAAGTTGTTAGATAATATATCTCAGAATATTATAAAAACAAACCCGAAGTTAATCCGTTCAGTATTGTTAACAATAGAAACGAATAAATACAAAATGGGCAGCGGCGGGTGGCGAGAATTATTTGATACCGCATACGCATACGCAAACTATGCATCATATTAATATCGATAGATTTTCACAATTTTGTTTAAAAATGCTATTATTTTGGAAGCATTAAGCAAAAGAGATTAAAGCTTGTCACAAACAAAAATAAGCACTACCTTACTTAATTGCTACTTTACTGATAACCACTCATTACTTAAAGCTTTTTCAACATTTAACGAAACAAATCTATTTTTACCTAATTTGCTGGTGCTATATTTATTTGTGAAGTATAATTATTGTGTTGTCATTCAACAGATTTCCTATAAACAAAGTACGTAAAAGAAGAAATGGATTGAAGCCAATGGACAAGATAAAATAACTCCTCGCTATAAAATATGGCATGTGTGGTCAATGCACTTTGTTGACACAGCTTTTAATAAAACTCTGAATATTATGATCATCGCACAGTTCCTTGTCTTCGCACCTGCATCTATTCTGAGTGTTGCTATTTATACATATTTAAAATTTTAAAGAAATTTTACAACACAAAAGCATTTTATATTTGCAGTCGAATATTGATGGAATATCATTAGATCCATCAAGATATTCTATCGTATCCAGTGATGTAAAAAATATGTAAAGTAAAAATATAATAATTTTTGAAAATAATGTCTTTGATTTCGCTTTTCTACAGATATAGTAAATAAATAGTATAAACAGAAAACTACTTAGTTTCATCTGATTTTTTGTTTGATTTGGACTTTGATTTGGTTCTAATAAATAATTCAGATGTAAACTCTATCGTTTTCTATACATACTATATTTTCTAAAGAAACCTTAAAAGTGACTTAGATATATTTATGTATGTATGGCAAAGTTATTAGGGACGAAATTCAGATGGCGCTACAACATAATTGGCACGGAAATCTGTGACTGGGTTCTCTTTTTCCCTATATATTATACTACTCTTTGATTTCCACACACCAAAGAAACCTACTTCCAGGTTACCTCTAAAAGTCAACTTCTGTAAGAACGCTCCAAGTCCATTTTTTCAGACAGTTCATATGATAAAACACATGAATTAAATACTTAAAATAGTTTAGTATATAATGGGCCGTGCAAAATCACGCCGTGCCTTCTTGACAAGAAGAAATATAAAGCAATAAAAAGACGAGAAACACGTACATTTACGAGTCTCGGGTGTTCACGGGGCTTTTCGGCGTGAGTCTGTCCGGCCTATTATAGTAATGTAATAGGACTTACGACGCCATGGTATAGCCCGCAATTTTGCATACAAAATGTTATACTGAAATATATCATAATGAAAAACGCTTAAAAATCCACTTTGTCCCTGGCACTCTGAGATGGGACTCTAACCCATGACCTTTCGCAATCCGGGCGACGGCTCCAACCGCGGAGCTATCCAGGACCTTTTTTTTTTTTCTTTTTTTTTTGACGCTGAGAAATGCGTTACGCATACCCGCCTCACCCTGCGCGGGCTCCACGGGTGATGTGGGACTCCTCCTGTGGCCCCACCCCCGAAGGGGCTAGAAACAACAAGAAACAGAAGTTTACGCACTAAAACTCAGCGATGTCCCTCTCATGGTAGGCGATGGACGGGTTCGGCCCGGAGGCCATACACCGCGCGGTTCGCCCCCATTTCGGCCCGCCCTGAAAAGGGCAGGTCCCTCTCGGGTTGGGGGTACGCCTTAGAGACATTCGAGACGCACCCCCACGACGAGGCAGGAGCGTGCAATGCCGACCGGTGCGCGAACCGGCCAGCTGCCCCTGACTAGAGACCAGAGATGCGCAACTGTGCAATCTCCGGTCCCCTACCCATCGTGTTGAGAGGATCCACACAGGCATAGCCCTTATCGTGGATCCCCTCCCCCGTAGGTTGATGCGCCACAGACGACCAGCCTCATCACTCCCTGTATCAGCCCCGGAGGGCAGACAGGGAGCGTCCAGCCGGTCGACGGGTCGCATCCCCTCTCGTCGCGCCGCGGCTACGGCCCTACCGAGGTCCCGGCGCCGCACCAGTCGTCAAGCAAGCACAGCAGGTAAGTCCCCAGGTAAGTACCCATCTACCCAGGACCTAACAGGACTGAAGAATTTTTCAAGCACTTATTACTTTTTCGCTACTACAGAGCGTATTTTAATCAATATTCAGGCAACCCAACCAAACAGCCGAAAGTTTAAATATTTGTAAAATATTTTTTCAAAAATTTAAACTTTCGATATATTTTAGATTTTTTTAGTTTAGGGGCACCGGGTTTCAACTCCAAAATTATTCTAAACTGAATTTAAAGAGCAGTGTCTTCCCAACGATCAATTAAGTAAAGATATTAAAAAATCAAAATCTATGAACTTATCTGTAAACTTTGTAAATTATTGAATTCCTGTGGAATTATTACGTAAATAATAAATACGTTGGGTTTGATATCAATATCAGTAGGTAAAGTATTCGTATATGAAAGGCCAGCCCCTAGCACAAGTCTACCATTTATTTTTCTCATTGAAGAGTAGGTATGGCACGCAATTGTAGGTATGCTGTGTCTTTCTTTTAGGTCAATGTAATTTACAACCAGTATTTGACAATTAACTTGCGCCAACCTTAATAAATAACAAACAAATGTGGATTCGTTATCTCATTTACTCTTATAAGCAAATTCAATTGCGTTATTATTAGACAAATAGCTATTTTTAACTCTTTTATCATGATTTCTATGCTTTAATTATTATTCTAATCCTCGATTCAACAAAATGAGCGAGTACTCGTTTTTCAACTTTAAACCTCCTCATTTAGCTCCTCACTTTTTAAGGCCTAGACATAGAGCACGAGGTGCAAACACAGATAATATGCCTCAATCAACAAAATAGAGTTTGGCAAGCGAAACGTGACACCACCTATTTTTCCGTTTTCATATGGCAACAACATAGAACTGTCAGTTTGACACTACGTTAGACAATTCAAGAATATTGAATTTTGTTGTTTTTGCGAATTTGAACTTGTGTTTTTGGTTAAAAATTATGTCGAAGCCGATAAAAAGTTCATCGAGGAAACTTCTTTCCATCATGATTGACAAGTTTACTGAAGTGAAAACTGAATTAAATAAAAATTTCATGGAGAAATTACAACGATTA